TATATAAATCCAGTCAATAACAAATTCGAATTTAACATGGCGAATTTATTTCAGATGGGAAATCGGAACGGTCTCGAAGGGACGATCCGAACGACTCCTGTTTCGCTAATTTCCTGCGATATTCAACTTTTACAGGAACTTTCGGGAAATTCATTTGCTTGCTTACCTACTCGACGGACTTTTCGCCAATTAAAAACCCATCATTTACCCGGCTTTTATTCTAACGCGAAACTTTTTCTACAGTGCTCTTCATGATTTATTTTACGCGCACTATTTCTCCTCTCGGGCGCTGCGGGGATTACGTAAATATATTTCTTTAGCTTTACCGTAATGCGGTTGATTTTCCTGTTGCGATAGTCCCTAGAAAACTTAACCGTTTCCGATGTAGATAAGGGCATCTCTGAAAGAATTTTTTGGCATCATTTTTGGGATTTACCTAGCAAATCATTTCTGTTTCAAAGTTTTCTTTAGTATCGCCATTGCCAGGTGTTGCAAAATTTTATTAGATCTGCTGATTTTCAATAAGATGTTTCAAAAAAATCAGGGGGTCTAGGGAAATTTTTGTTGACCTGGCAAAGTTGACTGGTTTCCACTAACATTTTGTAACAATGTTGCAGTTATAATTATCCATAATTAGAACATTATGCGATAAAGTATGTGTAAAAAGTAATAGTCAAAAAACTTCAATTTTTCTATAAAACAACCTGTATGTAATAGTTTAATTTGATTCACCACCCTGTAAAGTATAGCATGTTTCGTTATTCTGTTTGAATTTGTTAAATTTAAGGCAATCGCCGGTAAAAGGAACAAAAACTAATAGTCACGTATAATAAATAATAAGTAAATTGAATTATACTGGGACCTCAACCGGACTAAATAAAGCAAAGGTTGTTGATTTAGGACAGACCTGCACTTTGTTCAGTTTTGTTTTCGATGAAGAAAATTTTGCATAATTCCTTTGTTTGCCTTCGGTTAAATACACTTTATCAAGAGTATTTGAGTAACCTCTTCCATTTTTGGATTACATACAGGGTAATCTACATTATTTTCTTATTAAGGTATATAGTCAATGGGGAACAACTTTTTTTTGATTGCCAAGCCAAAAATAATTATTCTGTCACCCTGTATGAACTAAATTTGTGTGAAAATAATAGTTGCCTTAGACTGGATCGCTCTGTATATGTGAAATTTTTGTATCCGCTAATTTGCAACAATTCAAACAATTCCGAGAAATTACTTATTTAATGAATTTTCTTTAATCTTCTTTTACATGACGCAGTAAATGTTGTTTTGACGCTTCTTACAATGTTAAAATTAAATATGTATAGATAATGAGGATAATATAATGCCATTACTAATTATAGTTCCTGGTAAAGTTAGTCGATATATGGTAAAACAGGATGTAATGTCACGAAATTAGCTAAGTAAAGTTAAATAATTTTGGATAATTGTTTTTTTATGGTTAACTACAAATTTATACGAAACTGGCATAATTTAAAATGACCTACAAAATTTAAAATTTTTGGTAAACATATTTTGGTAAATATTTCAGAAAATTGCTAAAATAAATTAACCAAATGAAAATTTATTTTTAAATGAATTAATACACTTTCTTTGTAACTTCCTGTATGGTACTTATGTAAGCACTTTTTCCATTTTAATTACATTTAAAATATTAATACGGTAATTCCTTGACAAAAACTAATAAGTTGATACCCATACTCATAGCTACCTACTCATTTTGTTGTTTTTTATTCTTTATAAAAATTTTCCCTCAAACCCTATTTCTTGACTAACTGACTCACTGATTTGCACATGATATACCCATTATAAACTCACTTTGATGTTAATTAAATGCATTTTCTTCCTTCCATCATTCATCAGGAGATTAATGGTAGAATTAGCAACACCTGCGACATTTCGAAACCAATGTAGAATAGAACCAATTTTCTTTCTATAGCTTCGCAATTTGATATAGAGCCGACAAACTCGACAGTTTTATACGTTGAGATAGATATCATGAAAAATGGCCGTTGACAATACGCCGACCATTAGGTTTATGAGAATGTAGGTGCACGTAGGGGACAGGGGAACCCCCAAGACTCTACTAACACATAGCTGTAGAATGTTTATTTTTAAACTAGTTATTTCGAAAAGTGCATCAATTTAACCTCTCCTTTTTAACGCCCCATTTTACCTATTTAAAACCTTCCTTTGACCTATCCACTTCCTTGCATAATGGCTGTGTGTCCTCCGAAGAAAAATCGAATTCGAAACTAAGGTAAAATCAGATTAAGACGGAGAGCATCGGGCACGAAACGAACGCGGCTTTCATAAAATCCGCTTATCTTTCGGATGATTTATTAAAAAAAAAACACTCCCGAGGCCCGAATTCAATTAAAAAAGTTGCCCCATCGATTGGCGAGTTTGGTCAGCAAAAAACAACCCGCCAAACACCCCGCTAAACTTCTTCGATGCAGGATTTTCCCCCCAAGTTTGTTGCGGACGTAACGCAATTTAATTTTTGCGTTTTTACAAACTCCCTCGTAATTAAAAAGCAAGGTATACGTTTAGCTTACGAGAAACGGAAAGTTCGCGAACTTAAATTAATGTTCTACTTGACACATGGGTAGGTACAGTTCGAGTGTAATAGCAAAGGACGCGAGATGCGCGAACGGTGGCGCTTTATTCAATCAACCTATACTTCTACTCGTTATATGGATTTTATGGGGGATATTTGGCTTACTACATTACTATTTAAATACTAAATTAATGTTCTACTTGGCAAATAGGTAGGTACAGTTCGACTGTAATAGCAAAGGACGCGAGATGCGCGAACGGTGGGGCTTTTATTGATTCAACCTGTACTTTTACATGCTATACATGTAATTAATAATTAGTTTGCCTATAGTGATAAGGTGGAATTTATTGGGGATATTTGACCCACATGCGAAATCCCTTCCGGGTCAATAACCAAGAGAGGGCCTTCTCCCCTGGGGCACCGCTCGAAATGGCGAAAAGAGCCCGTCGGCTTGGGTCGTATTTATTTTTATCACGAGTCTCCTCTTTGAGCCGATTTTGCCAATAATTTTCAGTTATCCGTTCCCCCGTTTTAACACTTTTATTAGAAAAGTTATGTGTTAGGACACGACGCGAACAAGCGTAGCTATTTGTTATAAATAACGCACGAGTTTGATGGGAATCCCCCGAAGAAAACTCATGCATATATCTTCCTCGGAGGTACTCGAACTGATTCCGTTTGATTATGAAGACTTTACTCCGGTCGTAAACAATCCGGAAGTGGCGTAAAACTACTAATTTAATTACCCGATAAAAATATGGGATCGTTCGGACATAAACCGAATGCACTAAGACGGAATTAATGCCGTAAAGGCTCGATTTAATTTGATTAATGACCGATCGTTTCGGTAATCATTTCGAGAGCCCGTTGGTTCTCCACATATCAGAATCGAATCTCAATTAGACGTAATGTCCTCGATAAAATCTACGGCTTGATCTTGTTTTTTTTATTTAATAGGTTAATGATGACGTCGAACTTTGGGTTGGTAGTACTGGATATCACCAGATTTGACAGGTGACAAGATATCTGTTTAAAACATGAGGTGTGGTCCGTAGAATACGGAATTGCTGCATTCGATGCGGGGAAAAAGTGTCTGGGAAGACTTTGTCGCCGAGCTGAATAAGCGAAATTACGATCTCGCAAATTTCACATTCCTGGACGTACATGCACGTAGGGGTTCATGTTGGAATACAAATTAACTTCGAACGTTTAAAGTTCAAGTTACTGCTGGGAGTATTCGTACGAAAGAAAGTTTGTGGGGTACAAATTCGAAAATTTAATGTACATATTTGCGGGTTTCGGAGGATATTCTAACTCGATATCAAATGCTTAGCCGTGTAATATAAAGCTGCCGAGGTCACTGACAGACTGAACGGATAAAACGAGATAAAAAATTTCTCAATAGTCAATATCTTTCTACATTTAATAAAAATATATAAGAGAAAGTAAGGAAAGGTCATTATAAAAACAATGCAATAATGACGTATAAATTAGTATCGCCAATTAATAATATCGCATAAATTCGTCAACAATACGCATTTGTACAATTTGAGTTATCTTTTGCGATAAAAATATTAATTATTTATAAAGCATTTATTATAGCCAAATTATGTGAAAAATTGTGGAATTCCCAGCTGGCCAAATTAAAATGCACAATTTTTCGACATACATACATATGTATGTACCAACACATACTCAAAATTATTTTGCATATGTATAACATATGTATGTATGTATTAGTTGAAATGCCACGGGCCATTTATTATTTGAAATTTTTTTTGGTAAATTGGTTTTATTGTTAATTTTAAATGATTTTATGCCTATTGGTAAATGATAAAGAAACGAATTTTGATAAGTAATTTTACAAATATATCGTTATAATAAATATTTATTCTTTTATGGAAAATATTTTTGAGTGTGTTACTTAACAAATTACCAAATTCCCTGGATTTTAAGCCTTGTTGCCGTGCAAGTGTAGATAAACAAAACTAATAAATTATTAATTATTATTATAACTTATTCATGCGTAGGTAATAAAAAACCAGAGTAGGACTATGACAAATTTCCATAAATGTTGGAATTTAAAAGCAATAAAAAATATTTACAAAATTATTTCGATACCTCTTTCGGTTTAATTGGTACTTAATTCTTTAAAGTAGTTCTAATAGGTTCACATGTTTTAGTTGACTCCACCTCTATGTAATAATTCATTTCAAGAATAATTAGGAGAGGTAAGGACATGGTGGGGCAAATTTTTAAAAATTCTTATCCCCCGAGCAATAAAAAATAAGGATTCGTCACTGTGCGCGAATTTCCTAAATTGATCAACCTTTAAAAATGGATAAGGATACTGATAAGGTTTAAAGAGCGAAAATTCACGGGTTAATTCCAGCACAATCAAACCAGCTTTTTGCGCGACATGTTCGAACTACTGGCGGTTTTATTCGTTTTCATAGCCACTTGGGGCTTTTATTCGACCATAAAACCTAGGAAGTATCCACCAGGTAATGCATCGTATAACTTTTCTTCATTTTTAGGGCACATTTTACGTTTTTGTCATTTTTGATTTTTTTTAATTATCACTCCAAGAAGTCGATAATTAGAAAAAAAATTAATTAAACATCAGAAGTGCTTTATTTGGCTTTCCGGCTAAAGCCGAAATTATTTTTATTTGGTTCTTCTAAGGACTTTAAGTATTTTAGTTAATGTTTCTTAAAATGTTGTAAAAAGGAGTCATTAGATTGTTAAGTTTCAAAAATTTGAATTTTAGTTAAAATTAATAAAAAGATTGACCCTTTCTTGCAATTATTCATTCGTTATCTGTTGTATTTGATGGATTTTTCCAAGAATTTACATGTTTTTTTATTATTATACGAATTATTATTTTTTATATTATATTAAGTGGTGTGATTAAAAGGAGTATTTGCTTGTTCTTTAAGTAAGAACTTTTACTTCCGAGAATAATCTTTTACATGAAGTAAATTCTTCGATGGGAAATCCTTTGCAGTTGGAATATTCTTCACCGTGAAGTTTTGTTTTTATTATTCTAATATCTTTATCTAATATCTTTAGCCAATTCTATTTCTTGTGCATTTGGAAGAGAAGAAATCCAATCATTTTTCTTCAACACATTTTTTTGTGTAACTTCTTTAATTATCTTTGACACGGTTGTTTAATGTAACCCGATATCTAAACCAACCCTCAATATGAGTTTCCAAAAATTCATTAGATTGGCTAACTATTTAACATTGTTTGGATTAAAGCTAAAAGCATAGTGCTTTTGGTAGTAGAAAGTTAGTTATCTAAAATAATTGACTTTCCGAAATAATTTTCTATATTCTGCCTCCCCATAGGTTCTACCGTGTTCTATGTTCATATATATCTCTACTTTTCCTACCATAATTTAAAAAATGCCATTTATAACACCTTTTTAGATGAAGTACTTGATAAGAAGTTACTCTGTGATCAGCTTTTAAAAAACTACTCCCAAATGGAGGAAATACTAGACAACATTAGTAATTTCTGTAGAATTAACTTCTATGTATCGAAGTAAATAAAGCAAAGTATGAAGTTGCTCCTAGTATTGCTCCTAGTATTTACTTTAATATAACTTTAAGTAATTATGTGTAGATGTGTAGAGTGTAGAGTAAATGCTATAATTTTTTGAAAAAAAAAACTACGAAATTAAGCAGTTACTTGAAGTACAAGCAAATACTCCTTTTAATCATACCACTCTTTATTCTGAATTTTTCCACATTTCTAGATACCTTGTAATCAATATAACAGAATCATATTTTAATTTTATTTTGAATAGAAGATATTTTCCTCGTTTCAGGTCCAGTGTGGTACCCATTCGTCGGCAGCGCCCCTATAGTGAAAAAACTGGCCATTCAATTGGGCGGTTTGCATAAAGCAGTTCAAAAATTGAGCGAAACCCACAAAACCGACATATTAGGGCTAAAATTGGGCGACAAGAACACCGTAATCGTATCGAATTATGCCCTTCTGAAGGACATATTATGGAAGGAAGAATACGCAGGACGACCGGACGACATTTTCATAAGGCTGCGATGTTTGGGTCAGCTAAAAGGTAACAACAACGTTGCCATGTCTACTGAAATTTCACTACATTTAGCGACTTTTCCTGCAGGTATCACAATGACCGACGGCAGCTTCTCCAGAATACAAAAGAAATTCGTGAAGACCCATCTCCGGGAGCTCGGCTTCGGCAAGGAGCGCATGGAGGAGCTGATAAACGAAGAGTCTTCCGAGCTGATGGAAATCCTCGAGAAACTCGAGGACCAAGGCATCGATTTCACCAAAATCCTGCCTCTTTCGGTCATGAACGTCCTCTGGGCCATCGCCGCTGGCACGAGAATGGACAGATACGATAACAGGCTCATCACCTTGCTGAACACCATGCAGGAAAGGTCCAGATTATTCGACCTGTCAGGTGAATCACCCCGTATAGGGATCCCTGTGGTAAATAAAACCGTTCGGTTTGTTTGCAGGAGGACTCCTGAATCAATTTCCCTGGTTGAGGTTCGTCGCGCCGGAAATAAGCGGCTATAATTTGATCACAAGGTTGAATAAAAATCTGAAGGAAATAATCATGGAGTCGATTGAGGAGCACAAGAAATCGTGGATACCGGGACAAGATAACGACCTAATTTACGCTTTTATTAACAAAATGAACGACACGAACGACGATAACAGCACGTTTACAGGTAAGCTAATTATCGAGGAAGTTCAAAATTAATTACCATACTTGCTTAAATTATTCACGCTTTATTTAACAAGTTATTTACTCCTATTCGAATTTCATAAATAGTTATTATTTTAAGTGGCTGTCGGTAATTATTTGTTTGGAGGTTTTTGAAATACCTAGTTACTTATTATCTAGATAATTACTACGCATCATTAATACGATTTCAAAGTGGTTTGGATAACTGTGTTGGTAACACTCCACCATTTTAGGGGAAAATTTCACTTCTTGACAGAAAAATACTTCAAAAACAAATATCAAAAAAATATATTGCTTTGCACCGACAATATATTCTTATTTAATAATAACAAGAGTACCAACATAATCACCCCGTATATAACATCACAATTAAACTATTGCAGAAGACCAATTAGTGATGATATGCCTCGATTTGTTCATCGCCGGTTCGGTGTCTACCAGCAACACTCTTGGCTGCGCCTTCCTGTTTATGATACTGAACCCGGAAATCCAATCGAAAGTGGCCGAAGAAGTGGAGAGGGCCTTCGCGAAGAACGAAAACATCCATTACAAGGAGCGCAATCGGTACGACGTGCTGTACATTTAATCGATACTTTCCGAACTTTTCCTCACTCCGACTTGTTGATGGACAAACATTTTATTATCTCCGAAAAAGTTGCGTCATTATTTCTTCATCGTTGTTTTAACGAAATCTGAACTTTGTTATTTGTTATTTCGACGGAATATCCTATCGGGTTACTCTAAATTATTGACACTTTTAGGAGAAGTTGGTAATTAGTGTAAAAAATTCCGTTGGTAACACTGACATGCCAACTAAAAATACCACGAAATAAATTTTTAAAAACTTCTTTAAAAGCTTCTACAATTAATTTTATTTTTCTTCTTCCAATCGTAGAGTTCCGTACGTAGAGGCGGTGTTGAACGAAGTGCACAGATTCTCCACCATTGGCCCCATCGGGGGGCCCAGAAGGGTCACGTCCGATGTTAAACTGGGCGATTACGAAATACCAAAGGTACACTCAGGCGTGCCACGCTTTTACATTATTTTTTTTTAATTTAAATCGATTCCAGAACACCATGGTCTTGTACAGCATATACTCATGCCACAACGACAAGGACTACTGGAAGGACCCGGAGGTTTTTCGACCGGAAAGATTCCTCACACCCGAAGGAACACTTATCAACCACGAGAGATTCATGCCCTTTTCAATAGGTATACTTTTATACAAGGTTTCCCAATAATAATACAATTTCTCCTTGCTATAAAGGACCACCCTGTAGAAACGGAATGTGTGTTTTAACGAATAAAATTTTCAGGTATACGAAGGTGCTTGGGGGAAGTTCTGGCCAGAAGTTGCGTATTTACGTTCTTCTGCGAAATAATTAGGAATTATGAAGTTATCGCGTATCCCGGAACGAAACCAACGGGGAAATTGATAGCGGGTATGTTAACCGGCCCAGAAAGTTACATGGCCAAGTTAGTTAAGCGAAATAAACAAAATAATTCGATCATATATTAAGCTAATTAGGCTAATTCGTAGATACATATTTTAGGAAATACATTTACATTGCTATACATGTTAGAATATTACTGGTACCTAAGTGTCGTTTTCTATTATTTATTTTTTGTTTGTCATATAAATAGGTAATTTGTAGTATTTTTTAATAATATTAGGTGTGATAAGAATATGTGTTTTGTGACTAAATTGGTGATAACTCGTAATTACCGATTCATATTGAAAAACATCGTGAAATATTTTACTTTACCTACTATATACAGGGTTTTTCATAATAATATGTCATTGTATCAGGAAGTATATCTGTGAATTTTTTAAAATAATGTTAGTGGGAATTAATATGAATTATTGTGTTATCATTGTAGAAAGATAATTAGAAATGTAATGCCCAGTTTATATCTAATGATTATTTAGTCATCGCATTTTGGATGTTGTATTAAAATAGCTATAATTAAACAAAAAATTAAAGTGTTTTATTCTTCTGTATATTTTCAAAAAGGTATATTCGGGCAATTTTATTTCACTTAGAGATTACTAATTCACTATTTACACGTTAAATTAGTCCATTTTGGGACATTTTATATTATTGCTAATTGAATTTTTATCGAATAATGCTAATTTATGGCGGAACCGCTATAATTATTCCAGCATTTATCAAATGAACATGGAAAGTTAAAAATCAAATTACAATTTTAAAACGGGAATAATTTATTTGTCCCGACACGTACGCCGAATTTCCGATAACGGGCTGTTAACAGTTAAACATTGATTAAATTAAAACCAATCAATCAGCATGCAACACAACTTACTTATGGTGAACTGATCATGAACTTACCTGAAAAAAAATTAAACATTAATTATTTTAATAGCAAAAATTGAAAAATAACTAAATCAGATAATTTTATTAATAATGTGATTGTATTATGTATACTAATACAGTCGATAACACACTTTTTACAATTTTCCGATTTTCGTTCAAAGGGATAAAATCGCTTACATAGTAAAAAGTCTCTACAACGCGTACTAATGCAAAGGGAACTTTTAAAACCGCCATGAAACAATTTTTATTCATACTAAAATGGATAAAATCGCTGGGATTTGCAACATTCGTATGTTGTGTATTTTTTTATTTTCCTTTCACGATCTCCCCGACACTCTTTTGAAGCGCTTAGCCCGATCGGGGAGAGGTTTTTATGGTAAATTCTGAAGAGACGGACGCGCGAAAAGGGTTGAAGCGCATATAAAAAATACCGTTCCGTGAGTGCTTTTTGTTTGCATTCAGCTCTAACTTACCATAAATACACTGATATATGCATAGCCATCGATAAGGCAAGACAGCCTCACCAGCTATACTCTTTAAAATAAAGATTCTTTAAAGGTTGGCAATATTGCATTACGGTTGGCACTACTGAATGGTCGCGCGTATTTCGCCCGAACTATACGCGACTAGAGAAATTCGCTGAACAAAATACCAGAGATTACGCGATGGAAACAAACGGAGATTCCGGAAGGCGATAAACGCGACCAAACTTCTACCAGTGTTAGAACGTTTCGAATGCATTTAAACTCTCCTAGCCAACCTAAAAATAAAATTCAATATATGCGAATCGCACGAATGGGCACAATGGAAGTGCCGCAATTATTAGTTTATCAGATCGAATCTCCGATTCCATTTTCAACGGTAAATCTCCTTGACTGTTTGGGAACGAGTTAATAAGCCTGCGGCATACGTTTTATACGAAATGCACTCTGATTAATCAGCTTATATATTTAATGCATTTTCGTAATGCACAATAGAAAAAAAAGTACTGGTGTTACGAGAATCGATAATTCACCATGTAGTTTATAGGATTATCTGTTTATAGAGTTGGCCCTTTCAGAGAGAAGAAACCCATAGTTACTCCATAACAACAATGTAAAACTAGTCAAATTAAAGTGACTATTTAAACGATTGAAAACGGGCCAACATTTTGATACAAACAACACATTTTAGTAGGTGCAATTTCGCTAATGTAGCCTCGTTTAAATATTTAAACAAAGCTGTAAACAACGCTAGTTCGGAAGTGTAAGTTTATTCTACCCACTAGTGTGTAAAATAATCTACGCAAATTAAAATGAACGGGGAATCCTGCGAAAAGACTCGCCAAGTAAACGCGGAGTAGTCCGTGAATCAAATCGCAACGTCCGGGTAATCCCCCGGCGGCCTAATATATCTCATTTTTACGCGGTATTACGAGAATTAATAAACGAACGAAATGACGAATTCCCCCTTCGGCGCCCTCCCGCCGTCCGTTAATAATCCAGCTATTAAATCTGCGCGTTAATCAAATGGGATGAATTACAACCGAAACATGATCGAATCAGGATAGCAGGGATATCTGGGTTACGTTCCGATTCGACTGTTTCGCATTCTACGTTTATGTTCGATTTGCATTTGGACTAGTCGCGTTTCGTATTGAAATTATATGTATCTAATATTTGGGGTAGTTTATGCGAGTAAATATTTGGGGGAATATAAAAGGTGTTTTTTTGCTATAAGCGCACGCGATAGGCTTCAGGAAAATTATATTAGATTTTAATAACAAAGGAATAATATTTGCTAAGTGGGTTCTTATAGTTGGCCATGATTGAGTTACTGTAATAGTAACTAGATCAATAATTTATTTTGATTGTATTATAATAATTATTTATTTTAGGGACATGTGTACACTAATGGGGAGATTTGATCGGGGAGTTATTGATTTTATATACCTACAAAAAGAAATAAATCTGTTTTATTATAAAAACGGACAATCATCGTCAGTTTTGTTACCTGGAAAAGACTGACAACATTGTTATTAATCCGTTCCAAATGCCGGAGTTATTGATTAACTAATAATTTATCTATCTGACAAATACAATAATCCATTATCAAAGTTGAGTTGCGTAATGATTAAAAATGGATTTGAGCAGACAATAAATAAAGCGCGTGAAATTTTCATTTGCGCTCGAACCATTTATTATCAAATAAATGAATAAATAAAAGCGTTACCTAAACTTATCAAAAAAATATAATTTTTTTTAAATAACAAAAATTGTGAAAAAGGTAACTTATTTCTTGATTATTCTGCTGAATAGCCTTTAGTATTGTTGAGGCTGGTAAACTAGAAAAAAAAAGAAGAAATTGAAAATTAAAAGTACCAATCAACGGTAACTATGCAACTTGACAGTCAGTGCCTACCAACCTAATTTGAATTTTAACAATATATATTTTTTTGGGTGAATTAATTCTGCTTTTTAACATTTTCTATCATCCCTTGTTAATATTAAATTAAAATCTGTAGATATTAAGCTTAATTTATTTTTTTTATTTATTTTTAAAAGTTGGTCACAACGATAGTTGTGACGTGCATTCTTATTTGTTTTGCACCAACTATACATCTCGCAATTTTCAATTGGAATAAAATCGGTTACTGTGCGAGATTATCTAAGGGGCGAAATCTCCACTAACCCCCTTCGGAAAAAATTCCGAAGCGCCTATATCAAAAACCCCAATAATCCGATCGGAAGGCTCGAACGCGACGATTCCCCGGCATATTCCTGAGAAATAAAATATTACCGAACATCGGGGGTCCAATTGTGTATGCAAAAGCGCAAATTTCGAATACACGCCGAAAACACTCTTGATTTATTTACGTTCCTTTCACTCATACGGGCTTTGAAAAATTCACGCTCGTCGCATTTATCTACCGTTTCAAAAAAAAAATACGAGAAAATAAAAGTTATATACAGGGTGTAATAAATACTCAGCAATCGAATTAACAGAGAGTAAATAAATAAAGCGATAAAATCGGATCGAATATTTTTCGTTGCGTATTTGTTGCCGTTAAATTTCGATCTATTAATGTAAATTTTTTGCACAAAGTAAATAACTCGATTATCCGTAGTTTATTAATTTATTTTCGAGCACTCAAACAAATCCGCTTTTTCTAATTTTATTGCGCTCGCAACGATAATAAAAGTGAGAATCCGTTTCGAATACCATTCGGGCGTTTGTAAAAACAAATCGACGCAAGAACAACAATAAATATTTATTGATGCACTGAAATGCGAAAAAACCTCTTAAAAATTTACACGCGGAATTACAATTGCAAAGTGCGGATGTTATTTAAAAATAATAATATTTTCCTGTTCGATTATTTATACGTACGTTTCCGCGGGGCATTAATGATTCCACGATTCTATTGATCCACGCGTATAGGGGTGCTTTAATATATGTTATTAATAGAAAATAAGGCTATATATAAAGAATAAATATCTGATTTTTTTATTTATTTAGGGTTTTAGAAGGGTGTTTCATTAATACTGTAGTATACTTATAAAATGATATTTGTTATGAGCTACAAGATTTCCAGACTTTAGTCATACAGATTTGTTTCTATAGTAGGTAGCATGACAATTATTTTTCTTATTTGAATCCGGGTTTATTGATTTTTTTAATTTAAAATTAATGTAGATACACTTTTATAAGCAAATGAGTATTATTTTGAACCTTTATATGTACATTAGATACAATGTACTTAGAATTAAGATATGACCTACAAGATCTCCAGACTTTAGTCATACAGATTTACTCACTTCCAGATTTATTGATTTATTTTTAATTTAAAATTATTATTATATTATTATAATTTTTAACCTTTCTAGATACATAATACTTTTAGGTATATGTATTCATATTGTGGGTGACCTAAATCGCAGTGGGCCGGGGTTTATTTGACGGATATTATATGCAAAACGACACTAATGGCTCAATTTACGTCGCTTTTTGAGAAAATCGAGGTGTAAAATATTTTACAATGGGGTATAAATTTCTAATGCGAAACGTATGCCCGCCATTTAATCGATATCGGGCTTCAGAAATTGGCTTTTATCGTCCAATTATGAACCGACCCGGTGCGAAGTTTGGGCGAAAATTCGCACAAAAGGGGGAAATTTTAATTGGAATAAACATGTACCAAATA